ACAAGATACTTATGATCTTTAACAAAACCATGTTCGTAACTGAGAGCTTGATCCATCATGATTCTGTCAACATATGCCGAGATTGTCATTTTGGAGTGTTATATGTTGTCAGAGATGGTTACCTTGGATCAAAGGAAACCATAGTGCCACAATGCAGCTGTAAGCAATCACTTGATGTTTCCGGTGAGCACTCTGGATTTCATCTTGGGCAATTCAACATGGAGGAGTGCTGATGTGTAGTTATAGTCTTCTGTGGAGCTGCTTACAGCATCCCATGCCATATTTTGGCTTGCTCTTGCTTTGTATGGCAATGCTGAAGAAAATGAGGCAGAGGTGATTAAATGTGCTAATTGAGGTCTGTTGTTGTGCCTTCTTCAATTGACATTATTAAGGTATCATCCTTGTCTTGCCAGACATTCCAAAAGACTGTCTATATACCTGTTTCATCGACCATGGCATTGTACTTGTTGTAAATGTCTGTTCTTTGCTGTAGATTGTGCATTCGTTATTCCAACAGGATAGTGAGAAAATACAGTTTTTGGGGAAGTCCTGGCTGTACCTAGATAACTCTGAAACAACTTTGTGCAATGCATAAATGGCAGTTATGAAGTTCTCGTGATACCTACACAAGCAAACATTATGTGGCAATTTGTTTGCAAGAAACACGTGCTTGGGCTCGAGTTCTGCAAACTTTCTTTTCCTGACTTTTATAGTGGGATGCTTATTAGAGAACATGGAATATGTTCTTTCACTGATGATGTTAGTTTCTCCATAGAGCCATCATGATTAATTACAGAAATTGTATCCTTCATTCCTGGTGTCTGTCTATTTATATCAGCTTGCTGATGGAAATTTTGAACTTTTGTAACAGTTTCCTCACTCAATGCTGTAGACCAATTTGCCCTGCACTGGGTTTGACATGTTTTGATCGGTGTGTGTGGAACTTCTGCATATACTTCCATGTACAATTGCCTGTTGGGTATTCATGCTAGTGCTTTCTTTGCTGTAGCTGTTACCTTTATAAATGTCATGGCACTGTGGAATGCCTTTGTAGAGCAACCTTGATTTTGAGCCTGTTCCTTCTTTAATCTGTGACACTTTGTTACTTGTTCTCTAACCTCTTTCTTCAGTTGTGTTGAATTTTGCTCCTGTTGGTGTTTTGGGAGCAGTTTCTCTTGGTCTTTCATTTTGTTTTGACTTTTCTTCATAGCCAAAGCATGTTTTTTCTTCATGTCCTTTGCTAATTCTTAGTTCTCTATCTTGCTTGTCTTTCAGCATTTGTGAATATCATCTTGAAAAAGAAAAATATCATTATGTTATTATTTTTTAGATCATTATCATCATCCTTTTGCTACCCCTCCTACACTTGGTTCCCATCCATGACAAAGTTGTGGACTGATATCATGTCAGATGAAGGCTTCTTTCATTGACCCTAAAACATTCCATTCTAATTTCAGAATGATTGGTTGTGGTTCACTTGTGTTATTGTGGTAACAATAAAATTCAAGATGGCTACTTGACACACACAAAAAGCCTCTTGTATTATGAAGTAGAACTGACAGTAATAGCCATCTGCAAATTTAACTGTAAATATTCCGACTTCTCAATTCTAACAGTTAGCCTTGAGGAAAAAATTATTTCTTTATTGTGATAAAAAAAACCTTTTTAGAAGCTGGATGCATATGTTATAACTTACCTCAGAGCATGCCATCAGCTTATGTTTGAATTTTGCCACTAAGATGTACAAATGTATTCTGAGATGTTGTTAGCTCTGCAGCCATTAGTGACTAAGGTTTGTACTGTGCTATCCACACATAAAAGTGGTCAGCACCAGTATTTGCATTACTCACATTATACTTAGATATGGTTATTCATGTTAGTTATTCAGTATCACTGTTTCTCTGCTGCATTAATAACAACGAGTATATAATTAAAAAAGGAAATCCCAGCAATATGAGAAAACAAATACCAATAGATTGGGACATGGTTGGAAGAAAAGTTGCCAAACATTATTTACATTATGTGAATCTTGCAGTAGTACCTTATAAACACAATAGTGACCTGACAGAGCTTTGATCTTGTATGCTTATCATGTTCAAACAATGTACACAATAAAATAACAGTTATTTAATTAAACTATATTTATTAGATATAAATTGATCTTGACCTAGAATACTGTTAGCAAAAATCACAATATCTAACCAGATAAAGATAATAATGATAATAGTGCTATTTTAAAGGTGAGGTCGTAGGTCACCAGAAAATTTCAGTTTTCTTCATGCATCTTTTATAAGTTGTAGCTAGAAGTGTTGACTGCTGCATTTGGTAAAATATTGTGTAAAATTCTAAATAACTATGTTGATGAGTATCAGTGAAGTTGAAACTGACTCTTTATATAAAATAACCTTCTGATAAACAACAAAATATTGTAATTCCAGGTAAAAGGAAATGTTTTGATTTTTTTCCAAATTATAAGGATTTTTAAAGCTGAAACTAGATACTAGTAAGTATATACTAAGTTTCATGCATGTTAATTATTTCCACTGTGAAAAGGAAAAAAATTGGAAACTATCTAAACTACCCTTCTACTCCGAAAAGTTAATATAATATTATGTTTATTAATATTGTTAACCCTCTCGCTTATGGGTAGATCAAAGTGTGCATGTAATGACATTTCACAGTTACATTCAAAATTTAATTTATACTAATTTATTATCAATGTATATGAATAGATAATTAATAAATCCAATTTTAATATCATCTGTTTTATTAATTTTCTAATTTTAGAAGGAAATGTGTAAATAAATCCTCAATCTACCCTTATATGAGAACTGTAATATATTTTTTCTTTAGATCTTGCCCATTATCTAATGTTTTTACCACCTGTTTTGTATGGAATTATTCGTTATAATATAGATATTAGTAAGAAAAAGTAATTTTTATACCTTTCGTGTTTTTGTTTGTTTGTTTCTTTATGGAGATATAGGAGAAAAAAAAATTGACCCATTTGCTATGCCCACCTGTCATATACTCTTTCACAACTTGCCAATAATTCACTTTCGATGACGAGGAACCCACTTTGACACTAATAATGGTTGGAGACGGCTTGAATGGGTAACGAAGAAAAACTTTAATATAA